TAGATGACTTGTAGTAAAACGCTATACTTGAATCACTGGAGTGACTTACACTTTTTCTGGTTTGCATAACAGATGATTCCTTTAGATTCTTTTGTTGGCCAAAGTGCTGATGGTAAAATGGTTCCCATAATCCCTGGAGGGAACAGTATCCCACTTACCTTTTCGAACAGGAAAGAGTATGTGGAGAGGGCAATTGAGTACAGACTCCATGAAATGGACCGACAGGTAAGAACCTCACTGTGACTTGCCCCTGTTGTTAGTGGGGACAGGGGGTAATTTGTGCCTATTTCTATTACAGTTTCTTCAGTGATAAGAAGAGCTTGGCTTTCGGCATCTTTTTGGGTCTCTGTATTTTTTCTTCCCCACAAGCTGGTTTTGCCCTTTTTTTTTTAAATTTAGTCTTATTTTTTTTCTGTAGTTGCTCAGTTGCCAAAAGAGTGTTAGAAATCAGAGCCGGTCTTCCATTTGAGTAGCCCCGCTTGAGAAAAAAAACCTACAGTTTTGCATGCCGGGTACTCTAACTGGACATGTGAACAACACAGAGACTGGCTGAAGTAAATATTATTGACAAATGTTTGTTTAGCTTGAAACTATTTATCTTTTGTTACAACACAAATCCTGCAAATATTTCACGGCATGTTTTGGGAAGTGCTCATTACCTATTGCATAGTTCTGTGTACTTCGTCATTTGTTTAGGGACCCTTGTGAAAGCAGCATTCTAGTTATAAGGTAAAGATGCCTGTCTGATACTATCTGCCTTAGAAAACAGCTTCCTCATCAGAGGTACCAGATCCCAAGTCTTGCAGAACAAGTACAGCATTCTCACCATACATCTGAATTGGAACAGAGTCTTTTTTTCTATTTACACAGTTGCTTGGTTTAGCCATCATTATTTGTGCTGCCAACTTGTAATTTCTTTAAATAGTTCTGTGTTGGATCAGAACATGTTCTTTAATGTGCAATTACAATTAAAAATACCTGTAATATTCTCTAGGATTTTGAGAAACAATACAGCCCTTGCAGGGGCTGCGTGTGTGGGAGCTGTATTTGGAAGACATTGGTAATTCTGTCATTGCCATTTCTCAGCTGAGAAGTTACTTTGTGTTTGGATAGTCCAGGAAGTGGCAGAGATCAGACAGTTGCACTTCAAACATCTCTCTTGTTTTTGGCCATTATTAGGTGGCTGCTGTCAGGGAAGGAATGTCTTGGATTGTTCCCGTTCCTTTGCTGTCCCTTCTGACTGCCAAGCAGTTGGAGCAGATGGTCTGTGGAATGCCAGAAATATCAGTTGAGGTTCTGAAGAAGGTTGTGCGATACAGAGAAGTTGATGAGCAGCATCAGCTGGTGCAGTGGTTCTGGCACACCCTGGAAGAATTTTCAAATGAGGAGAGAGTCCTTTTCATGAGGTTTGTGTCAGGAAGATCTCGACTGCCAGCCAACACAGCTGATATCTCTCAGCGATTCCAAATAATGAAGGTTGATAGGGTAAGACACTGGCATTACTATTATTATTATTATAGTAATAATACTATTATATATTATATATTGTTATTGTGTATTGTTAATATATATTATTATGTTATTATATATAGTAATAATCATTATTATTTCCTCTCAACTATAGTCTGTGCTTTGGCACTAGGAGACAATTTCCATAACTGTAAATTTACAGAAAAAGTATGGGATGGGATATGCTCTTAAGTTAATAAACTCAGACATTCTGGTTGTGTAGGACACAGGCTGCATGAATTGCATCTTAATTTAATTGGTGCAACTGGTGATTGGAGATAAAGACAAGAAACAAACCTTTGTCTACTGTAACTGTTCCAATCTCTTTTCATTTAGTAGTTTTCTTTCTGTTTTTAATTTTGTGTAAGTGGCAGCGTATCACTAGTGAACTCTTAATGTTTTAAAACCACTGCAATGAGTTTACAGTGTATAGTTTTACATACAGGGTGCATTCATTTTGGGTTTTGTGCAGTGAAAGCGCATTCTCTGTGAACAACATGAACAAAAAACTTGACAAAATCTCAGCTAACAGGGGTTTGTTTGTCATACTTGGTTAGGTGTCTCTCAGACTGCCTTATTCTAAGGCACGCTATGGTATGTAATTTCAATATTCATTGTTTGCTATCTAGCAGTGGGCTTCTAAACAGCAGTGTGATCAACTTTTCAAAAGGCTGAATTCAGTAGCGGGTTGTGTTACTGGCAGAGTAGGTGCTACAGTGGTTTTGGACATACTTAAGGGTGGAGCAAATGCTGTAAACAAGGGAGGTCAGTCTGCTTCTTAAAAGGAATTTGAGATAGAATGTGAAAATGGTAGAGGCAAGGAGCAATGCAATGTGGATATTGTTGCATTTTTAACTTCATTCACAACTTACCAGTGTCCTACCTTTTATCCGTTTCCGCAGCCATACGACAGCTTGCCTACCTCACAGACTTGTTTCTTTCAACTGAGGCTCCCACCTTACTCCAGTCAAGTAATCATGGCAGAGCGTTTGCGCTATGCAATCAATAATTGCAGGTCTATAGACATGGACAATTACATGCTCTCCCGGAATGTGGACAATGCAGAGGGCTCAGACACAGATTATTAATATTCTGTGAACAAAATCATCTTCCTTTTACTACAAATAGTGCCCTAAGTCCAATTCATCGTTGACATAATTTTACAGTAACCATAGATGTTTTAGGAGCATAAAACCAGATCTTAATAGACGGTGGCCACACTTTAGTTACTCTAAATGTAACAAAAAATTAGATGTTTTTATTTTTTTGTGATTGTAAAAAAGAAAAAAAGAAAAACAAAACAAAAAAGTATGATCGGTAAGTTTTTTCTCCTTTTTTGGTCACTTTTGATAAGTTTGCATGGAGACATTTTGGTGTATTTTTGTTGGGAATAGTACATTTGTAAGCCCTCTCAGTGAACATGAAGAGTTGTACATTGTGTATAATTGTTCATTAGCCAGAACAGTTTTACATGAATAGTCACATATTTATTTTGTTTTAATTTGATTTGCCTGTGCAGGGTTTCTTCTGCAGAGAAAAATAAAGCAAATTCAAGACTCGGTTGCTTGTATGCATTTGTGAACTGTGGTTGGTTTACTTGGGCTTCATACTTTTATATTTTGTCTCAGGAAATTATAGTCTTAGTGTTGAGACAGGGTGCGACCTTTGAAGCATCTTAAAATGTTTAGCCTGCTGGACTGTGCTCTGCCTTCTCCTGGCCTGAGGCCCTGGCTGGTTGGGTGTACTGCTCTTCATTCCTCGTGCTGCAATACAAGTTTGTGCTGTGCTTAGTTCCTTCTTGCTTTTTGTTTAAACATTTTGCTCCTCCATAGTAATTGTTGACAGTAACGGCATGCTGCCACCCTGATTCAAAAAACTTTAAATATTTTGAGCAAAACAATATTTTTAATACACACATTGATTTAGTTGATTCCTGCTCAGAGTACACAAAAATTAAAATGGAAGGGACAGGGTAGTAGTCAAGGTTGTGGATTTTATTCACATTTTTAGTTCTGCCTTTGTTCTCATTTTTGTCTCAGCTGTAGCTATTGTGATCAGCATGGTTTACTTACACAGTGATTGCTGTTCCTGTTAGGTTAGGACAGCAGTGTGGTGCACAAGGAGAGCTCTGCTCTGTGCCTTGGGAAAGTGCTGGACAATAGGTAATTGCCCGTTGTCTCTATGAAAGACATCACTGATGTCAAGCTACAAACATTGCCTGGTGCTCAGAGCAGGATGTACCTGGGGAGGAGAAAGGGGAGAGGCAGTCCCTAGGTGAGTCAGAGCTGCTCTGCTCCCTTTTCCGCTCTGCTCCATTTCTTCCTCCCTCAACTCCTTGGGAAGGAACTCCTTGCTGTGGGAGCTAAGGGCTGGTGAAAATGTTTATTAGTGTCATCTCACCTGGGGCAAGACTGGTCCATCTGAGTGTGGAGGGTAGGGTAGAAATTCCTGTTACTTTCTCTCATGTGTCTGTTGTACATTAACAAGGATTGATTGGGAAATTTCCTGGTTGTCCAAGACCGAGCTGCTGTATTGCTGCCAGTGCTCAGAGGGAGGGCTTGGTAAGCTGTACAAATTTGCATATCTGGGTTTTATCTGGTGAAGTTCTCTCAGGACTGTATGTTGGCTCTTGAAAAAGGCAAAAGCCTAGCTATGATCAAAGACCACTGCGGAGTGAAACATTTGAGGGAGATCAGGAGTTGGGGGAAGGAGGGTCTCACGGCTCTGAAATCATGCAGACTTGGTTTCCTGCCTTATTGTGTGTTAGGTTTCAAATTGGACTGAGATGTTGGTGTCCCATCAGTGTGTTGTGAGGATGTATAGTCACATCTTGGCCTAAATGTCTAGGTTTAATAGGTAAAAAATACAGTAGTTAAATAAATGGGGAAACTGCTGTATTAAGTCCTGTATTACTGCCTTCTACACCTCATCGATGTGTCTTAGTGGCACTGATTTGTCAGCCTGTTCCAATCAGCACAGGAAATAATAGAACTGTGCCTAAAAATGGCAGTTTTATGTGGACTGTACAGTTAGCTTTCTGGATAATGAAGATCTTTTTGGAGGCAGTTTACAATAAAATCACAGGGCATCTTGATTAAAGGTTTGTGCTTGATGGAACTTTAATGGCTTGGTGGAACTAAAGGAAACTGTTTCCATCCTTCCATAATACCCTAAGTAAAATGTCATAGTTTTCTATACTCCATTTTCAAATTGGATTGTGAAGTAAGAAAATGCATTATTGATGCTGAAAAAAATGTATCAATACAATAGCGTTCAGATTTTACCATGTCATGAACAAATATCCCCATTCAAGGAGGGGAAGAACGAAGTAGTAAGCTAGAGCATTGTTAAACAAATAGGCAAAGAAATCAAGTGGAGAGTGTTTGAAGACACTTTTTAGCTCTATAAAAGAAAATTATAAAACAAAACAAACCACAAACCCCACAAAATACCCTCAAAATACCCTGCCCCTCCTCCCCCTGCCCCTAGCAAAAAAGCTTAAGTAATATGTAGACAGATGCAAATGTGCTTTCATGTCTTGTAGCTACAGAAAATCCTTTCCTCTTACAACTACAGAGACATGTCTGTCACCACAGAGTGCTGGGAGAGCTAGTGGCACAAGGAGGTTCGTTGCTTGCTGCAGTGGCTGTGTAAGTTCATGCCTTGTTTTGGCTTGTTAGCAGTGTGTGGAACTGTTGTAGTGTATCCAATGTACAAGTTGTGTCAGCTTCCCAATTTCCACATCACAGTAAATTTGTTCAGCTCAGCAATGTCCTTTTGTAGCTGTCAGTCCTGGGTGAGGATTGCTGTGTCTCCTTATCCGCGCTCCGTTTTCTTGCTTACCTTGTGGTGTATAAGGGCCCTACTTGAACCTTAGGAAGGAGTTAATGAAATACCACTTTTACAGTGTCATGCTGTTAAATATCTTTAAGTAATGAAGATGGAATAATTTATTTTCCCCATCGGTTTTCTGGTGAGTGTATTTTACAGATGCTCATACTGATCAAGTATTTCTCTAGAATTGCAGTATTGTTTGACTAAGTTGCTGTAATGATGTGATTTATTTGTTTCCTCAGCCAAATTAGAGAGTACCAAGTATATCTGTGGATCAATTAACCAGGATCAGAAGACAAAGTATATTCAGTTATGTTGAGAGCTGTGAAGTCCTCTTTGGTGTCAAATTTTGTCAAGATGGTGGCATAGCATCAAAAGTACGTAAAAAAAAAAAGTTTCACTTCCAGGTAGCAAAGCAGTGTGCAGGAAGGGGACAGCCTTGTGCTTTGGGATGAAAATAGCTACTGGTTTTGTACTTTGCAGTGAGAAATGGGTGTTTATATACAGCTGGTCTGTACTGTGTTCCTAATTTAGCATTAAAAGACAGGCTGTTAGTCACTGTCTTTTCTTGTGGGTTAGTTCTCTGAATTAGCACTTGTTCAGATTGCACTTCCTTTAATGTCAGCTTTAAAAGATAACTTGGTGCATCTTTTATTATGTAAGTACATCATGCAGAGGGTCAGAGTGTGTTTTGTGTGCCTTGAATCCATGCTTCTCTCATCAAATACAAAAGCCTGGTAAATTAGCTGCCACTGTTAATCACTGAGGAAGTGCTGGTGGTCAGTACTCTGCTTTTGCTAGAAAGGTATTTCAGGGAGTGGTTATCCTTCTTAGTGGATGGAATGACTGTCTGGTAATACCCTTTAACAGAAGTTTGTAAATCACTCTTGTCCTGAAATTTGTGAAAATCCTCCAGTGACTCAGGCTCTCTGCTGTGGCTTTATGCCCTTGCCCATCACCTAAGGAGTTTTGAAAGTGCAGGGTCCAGTCTGAACCTCGTGACCCAGTGGGAGGCTCTTCCTTAATGTTTGTGTTCTCAGGCCCTTCTGTGACTCATTCTGCCTCGGTTCACTCTGTGTTTCTTCCATGCAGTCAGTGAACCTTGCCATCAAACTTACTGCACCATGTCAAACTACTGTTAAACTTTCTTAAAAGTTCATAAAATTTATTGAATTCTATCCAATTATTTGGCCTCAATAAACACACTGCTGCTTCCCTCCTCTGAGTGAGGGCATCTGCAGCACGAGGGTACCAGAACTGCAGTTTTCAGCAGATTGGTATTTTGTGACAGCAATGCAGGGTTTCCCAGTTTCAAGGAAAAACAGAGAGCAAACAGTTATTTCCTGAAGCCCATTCAGGAGGAGATGCATGTCTTTTCCCTTTACAAAACAACCATTTGTTTGGACTTGATCAGAACCCATGGAAGTAGTGACAGTTCATTGCTACCTCAGTGAGGTAAAATACCTGCTCTTTAAACCTGAACCAATTTTCTTGATGCTTTTTCAAGCATCAGCTTTTTTCCTGGCTTACTGTCTGGGATCATGTTAGCACTTCTCTCTGCTCTCAGCATTACAGAAGGACACTTTTCCCTGACTCTCTCCAGCCCAGCTTGTGTTACATTGCGGCAGAAATCCACATGGAGTGTTTGCAGTGATGCTCCGTGGAGGGTCACTGCCTGCAGGGTGTGGTCAGTGATCTGCACACAGTTCTCCAGTTTGAGGCTCTTCAGGTTTGGGCAGTTCTTGAGAAGCTGCAAAATGCAGTCGTCTGTAACATGGCCACATCCAGAGAGGGTCAGAGACAGCAGATTTGGACATCTGAAAGCAGGATGGTGACAGGTGAGATGGGAGAAATAAATCATAGAGCTTGCAGAAGCAAATAGCATCAAGAATAAATATGAAGGCTGGAAAAATGCCTCCTCTTCCTCAGGAGGGGCAAGGAGGCACAACTAGGTGAGCGCACATGTAGATCTTAATGTGCAGCTTAACTAAGGCAAAGCTTACTTCCTTTGCTTTTTCTGTTGGTAGCAACATCTTTAGCTCAGCTGGCACAGTGGCCTGTTTAAGCTGTGCCTGCATAATTTTCTCTTAAGGAGTTGGATGGTGCTGTGCTTCTCCAGGCACAGACAGTGGAGACCCAGCAGAGACAAGATTAATTTCAGGATGAAGTGGAGGACAACTGAGAGAAGAGACTGCTGTGCAGACCTCTGAGGATGAGCAAGTAAGGCACTCCCACACTTTATTTTTAGGAATTACAGCTACATTTAATCTCCTTGGATTTACTGAAGAGGTGCCAACTGCTTCCTAAAGAGTGTTTGATGTTCAAACACCACTCAGCTCTTAAACTTTCCATTGATTCACTGAAACTGGTAACTGTTGTTATAAACAATGATGCAGCAAATGAACAAAGCTTTTTCTCGCTGCTTGAGTAGGCCTGGGGAAGCACAGGAAAGGCCTGTCCCCAGTGTGTGTGAGCTGATGTGTGCAGCTCTCCTGGAGCAGCTGCTGGCTGAGCAGGGCCCTGTGCAGAGCCTGCAGACATGTGCCACGTCTGGCTCCTGGCTCAGCCCCCTCTCCAGGCAATAGCAATCCAGCATCCACCTAGCTAAACAGAGCATCACACACAGGTCTGTGTTGCTCTTGTGAGACCTCTAGACAGAATTTTTTATCTTTTAACTCTTTTCTGTTAGGAGCAATTGGAGGAAAAAGGTGGCAGCAGTCAACAAAGGCTCTAACAGAATAAAACTACTTTAAACTCAGGAAGAAAAGCTGGATATTTAATTTGCATTTTTCTTTGTACACAGTGCTAGGAATTGACTGGAAATGCTTTCAATGGGTTGCAGCAAAAATAGGTCGGACCTTGTATTATCCTTTCTTGGCACAGGTATGCTGATTCCTCCTTAATTAATCCAGATTTTTATCAGTTGTTCTAGCACATTTACTTCAGAAATCTGGCACTTGCAATTTAGTCTGTTTTGAAGCTGCTTTTCAGTCCTTGTTTTGAGATTGCACTGCTGCTGGCTCTCTCCTGTCACTGTCCCATAATTTTTTCAGTTGTTTTCCAAAGCTGAGGGCTGTGGCACAGGTGCACCATATCAGGGAGCCACTGCCATGGCCCCTTGGCTCTGCTTTGGGACCAAGCCAGCCCTGGTGTTACCCACACGCAGTGGGACTGGCTCTGCTCCTTCCTCAGAGCTGTCTCACAGCAGCTGAGCTGTGAAGGAAAAGCTGTGCAGCCAGAGCTGCTTTTCTGTGGTGGCATTTCTCTTCCCTCACTGCTGTTCAGAAGCAGCTAGGAGTTTAAACTTCAGAACTTTAGACCGAACTAAAGCTGACACTTAGTAATGTTAATTGAACTTGATTGTAATGAGGTGTGTTCACTGTTTGAAACCAGGGCTCTGCTCCAGGCACCCCCCAGACACTGCCAGAATGTAGTTTAGCTGAGCAGCAGTGTGGGAGGCAGGAGTGCCCTTTCCCATATTAATAACAAATTCTTAGAGGAAAAAAAAGAAGGAAAATGTAGACTTAAGGGAAATCTAGAGGAAGTATACACTACTGCCACTGTAAAATGAACTTACACTACAGTTGTAAAGGCAAAGCACTCACGTACTTCATGCTCCATTTCAGGCAGGGGTTATGGAGTATTGGAAATAACTCTTGACTTCACTCATCTCAAGGCAGTTACTGCACACTCACACCCACAGAACGTACCTGTTGCAAACGTCTAGTAAAAAATCACTGACAGTGTTCTCATGCCTCTTACAGAAGTCTTTCTGGAAACTGTTTTTCATCCAGTCCTCAATGTTACACACCTTGACTCTCTCTGAATACCAGCAGATGGACAAGTGTTTTAAAGCAGGTCCCAGGACAAAATTATCCTTCTTTAGTTCCACTGGAGAATGAAAGTTCAACAAAGACCACAGTAAAGGATCCTGAAACACTTCTAGTAGCTTGTGACATGTTTTTGCTAGATTTTTCCTACTGTTTTTGTCCAGAAAAGAGAAGAGATGTAAAAGGCATTCCCGGTTGAGCTGGGTTATGTGCATTGCCCAGCAGCAGTGGCAGAGTGTCTTGGCTGGGTGGAGTAATAGCAGTGCTGGAGGGGGTTCACACTTACCAGGAGGCTGTTGCACATATATGGTTGTGGAATGGGGTTTATTTTTGGTAAACAACTGGTGCAGAAGCTCAGAACAGGGAAAGGAACAGAACCATGTATGTAGCTTGTGCCTCTGTCCAAGGGAATGAAATGGGCATGTACAACTCGAGTGTCATGAAATGCTTCCTTAAAAGGCATTTCCCCCCCCCCCCCCCCCTTGTAGACTCTCCTGGAGTTTAGGAAAGTTCTTGTGCTGCCTTACTGGAGTGGGGTGGGGCTGCAGCTGCAGCTGCCAGGCAGGCGTATTGTATCTTTGTCAGTGTTTCCCATTCGGGAGATTTGGCTGAGCAGCACTTTGGTTTGGCAGAGTAACTTGACTCTCTGTTTGTTCTTTGAGTTTTCTGAGGTTGCACATTTGGTTCACGTTCAAGGACTGCTACATGGATAATGGAACTTCCATAAACAGTTTTTTAGAAGTAGCTGAAACATTCTCTGGGTGCCTTGAAGCACACACACGGTCTGCAGTTCAGTTCACAAGCCCCAGAGGTAGGGACAGTTTCCTGCCCAGTTATTTGAGGCTGAGCTGTGATTCTATAAACAAAGCTGGCTGTGTCCCCACCTTCTGCAGGAGGGAAGCAATGACACAGAGGCAGCCATGCATGGGAACAGCGAGGCTATGTTTAGTTCCTTGTGAGCTTGTGTTTTTGATAGATGCCTTCTATTGGCTCGAGTTTTATAAGTTTAGCTGTTCTGGTTTTGTAGGTTTAGTTCCGTTACCACCGAAATCTTTCTTCCACCCTTTGGTGGAATAAGGAGATATGAAAGTGGTTTTCCAGTTAAAAGTATCTGTTGTACAGAAACTGGAGAAAGTGTAGCAGAAAAAAGTTGTTCCTAGAAGAAAAATAAAGCTACAGCAAGGGCAGGTTGGAATTAAAAGCATTAAGCATCCCTTTAACTTTCCAGCTTGTGAAACAAAAATGCTTGGGATGAAGGTATTTTATAGTGCCTTTCTGCCAGGAGTTAATACAAGAGAATAAATACATTCAACAAATCCATAAAAAGTTACAGCGAACAGCACTGGGGGAGTTTTTCAAGTGGCCTGCACACAAATAGTACCTGGGAGACTTTATGGCATTTTAATTAGGAGTGTTTTAATACAGGACAAAGTTGAGTGGGACTCAATTTTACTTCCTCCTTCACACCCCAAGAATGCAGTTTAAAATTCAACTCCAAAAAACAAGATCAGAAATTTGTTTGTAGTCTGCAACAATCACAGCTTGAGGAAGTGCTTGAGTAGTGTGTGTCTGAACACAGCTGGCATACACAAAGAAATGGCAATTCTTTCTGCTTCACTCTTTAGTTAGTAACTTTCGACTACATACACTAAGCTGTGTTTAACAACTGCTGTTCTTCTTGGTTTTACATCCTTTGCCATTTAATCTTTTCTGTGAAATGATAAGGAGATTGCTGTTCCCCCTCCCCCTGTCAGAAACAGCTCTGGTCAATGCCCCAAAAGGGACAAGAAGATTTCACACACCAGGTAATGCAGTTTACTGGAAAACAGCAGCTTAAAAGATGTGCCTGCAGATGTTCCTCATTCTCATATTAGCATTTTCAAATCTCAAGAACTTACCTTTGTTTTTGAGCAGGTTTAAACAGTTGAGGCTTCTCAGAGTTACACATACAGGTATACTATTTTTAAAAGTACTAATTACCCCCCCCCCCCCAAAAAAAAAAAATTAACAACAAATCAACAATCTAGCAAAGTTGAATGACAAGTATTGGAGGATGGACTCTTGCCAGACAGAGGGGGCACACCACAATCTGCCATAAAAATTAACAGCAGTTGGGTGGCAAGGCATTTAAAATGGAATGACAGGTCCTCTTTGGGGTTAGCTGCTAAGTCTGGTAGAGGTGTTACAGAGTTAGGAACACTGCAATTGCTTTATTTTGTTTTTCCCAGAGCAAGGTACAGTATTCTGCCATTTGTGTTCAGAGGATATACACTAATGTTCTGCAAGCCTGTAGAAGGACAAGAAGTTTCATTTTCTAAGGAAAGGAGACACTTTAATGGCACATTTTCCATAAACACACTATGTGATGAGATATAATTCACATTCATCCTGGAAATGCTCCAGAAACACACAAGATGAGCACAGTCAGTAATCCTCACTGAAAATTACACACAAGATTTTAATGGTAAACAATTACAACTATGGCACTACAGTACTTGAGAATATCCTAAAGCACATTGGAATCAGCTGTCAAGGTGCCCATTACCTCATCAGTAAGACACAGACACATCAGTAATGAAACATTGCTGGGGGAACTTCTTAACACCACGTGTTACACTTCCCAAAAATTTAGTAAAATCTTCATAAATGGCCTCCTGTTTTTGATACAAGTCCACTACCCCTTCCTATCTTAAACTTTTAAACTCTCTTGATGACATTTAGGAGCTGGACATTTTGCAGTTTTGATTGACATAAATATTGGCTCCAGTTGTATACGTGGCTAAACAATCAGTAACAAAAGGACAACCTTTGATTGGACACATTTTGGTGAAAAAGATGCAAGTCTTTGAACTGTAGAGAGCAGTTGCTGCTTGCAGAGCAGTCTCAAGCAAGAAAAAACTTCTTGCCAGCTAGAGTGTACTACGATGAGCAGTAAGTAGAAAAAAACCATTTGGCTTAAATGAAAGAGATATTCCCCCCAAGAAGCGAGTAGATAAATATAGGATATACAAGCTAGGTTAAAAAGGTAATACTAGGCCAGGTGCAGTATTATGTTACTGGTTCAGTGCTCAGTTACTTTTTTTTTGACACCACACTGAATAGAATACAGTGGATAAGCGAAGTTCTCCACCAGGAAGAGAAATACTTGTGTTGCCACAACAAACTGTTCATACTGCCCATCTGAGTTTGCAGTGGGAGAAAGTTAAATTAGGAAAGGATTTACAATGTACTTGTTCCAGCAAAGCATACGGCTGAGTCCTGAGCAGCACCTGCTGCAAGGGCGGCCGGCTGTGATTGCATCGGTTTCCCAGACCGGCCCCACACGGCCCTGCTGGAGACATTACTGCCCAGGACCTGCGTGGGACACAGCAATGGGACTGAAAGAAAACGCTCAAGTCAGAACATAACTCTGACCCAAACAATTGCTGACAAGTAGAAGTTGATTAAAAGAAGTGAATGTTGCTGAACATTACAAATTAAATTTCTAAAAATATAGAAAGGCACATTTACATCACTGTTTTGCAAGAACACTGCATACACCTGACTACTGTAAGTTAAACTGCTGCTGGCCCAGAGATAATTGTGTATTTTAAGCTTGGCAGTCTCAAAGGTAAATTCTAAAGAAATCCGGTCCAAGCAGCATGCAGAGAAAACACAGCTAGAGGTGGCATCTGCGCAGCTCCCTGTGAGCAGCAGGAACGGCAGGAATGTGGAACAATGCTTTACCTGCTGCATTTTCTGCTTGTTTAAGTATCAGCAAACTATTCTCGTTGATTAGAAGAAAGACTGCCTGTAAGGAAGGGAAGGTGACAAACTATCTACAGCTTAAAGAAATGACGCGTTCTAGTTACTGTTCAACTTAAGTAAAAGACAACATCCTTATAAATATGTCACTGTATCAAAGAACTCTACAGTCTTCACCTGCGTGCATACTTCAAAATATGCTGAACGATTTCTACAGTTTTAGATTTCTCCAATTTGTCCCTCTCCTGGTTTAAGATGCTGGAATGAAGCTCCCAAGAATGGCTCCCAAGAATACCAACTGCCTGACTCCAAGTTGTCCTTACCCTGGCCTGTGAACAGCCAGCAGGACCCCAGGGCAAGGCACTGCTGTGCACTCCCTGTGCCCCAGGCTGCTCTGGGCTCCACTCTAGCACGCCCCTGCCCCCCCGCCATGTCCTTCAGGGGCATCAACTAAAACAGGACTCCCAACTGGAGTTTTAGTTAACGTAACTGAGAGCCGCTCTTTGGTGGTGGGACTCTCCATGAACTGTATTCTCCTCTTACTGAGCTTTCAGGAGCGTCCAGCTCCTTGGTACAAGAGAGCCAGCTAGAAAGGAGAGACTGAGGGAGCGGATCTGAAATGCAGCAGTTCTCAAATTTCACGTTTTCTGTCAGATTCCTGGCTTTGGCAGTAGTGGTTTTCCTGTCTGCCTTTCCCATCACAGCAGCTCATTTCCACTCATCAGCAGTAGAGCTAAAACTGGTTTGGGTTTTTTTAGCGTAGTCTTTCTCTATTACGTAGCCAGATTTTAGAAACTGCACCATGATTCCAGTGTTCACCTAGAGACTGAACAAAAATGCCACAGGAGCTCTCTGAGCCTGTTCCAGTCACAAGCACGCTTGGCTTAGCACTTCCCCTATGAGGGCACTGCTGTGAGAGACTGAGCATCCTTCCTTGAGTTTGCGTTTGAACTGATAGAAATGCAAAGCACCTGCAACACCATCTGTCTCCTCCTGCTTCCAAGTGAACTGTAGCCATGGAGCAGAGCTGCATGCAGAGCTGCATTTAGACCTATGCCTATTTTCACAAACCCCAGCCCTGGGGGCTGTACTTCCAATTGCCACTAGGAACTAAGGGGTTCTACTTGGGATCCTACTGCCAGGAAGTCTGCCCAGTTTTCAAGCACATAAGTGTTCATGATCCAATTTCAGGATGAGAGTCTAAACCAAGTGATGTCTAATGCAATTCAAGTTGTTATAAAACCATAAAGGGCAACATAATTTAGACAGGTAAAGATAATTGTTTTAAATTTGCAGGGGGTAGGGGGCAGCATATCTGACCAGTACTGTAATTAAATTGCAGTATTGATACAATTGGACCAACTTTGTTTATTTACAATGATTCCTGAAAGTCACCAGCCTGAATACACACCGATATAGCAGCAATTACCTGGTCTATTTAATGATGTTATATTGCCTCTCTTCTGCAGACAAAGGATGATTGATCAGAGGTCACTGTTTAAGTTTCTTGCACAAGGGAAAATAGTATGTGCA